AAAAAAAAAAAAAAAAAAAAAAAAAAAAAAAAAAAAAAAAAGAGTGTAAAAACAACTAACTAACACACACACGTATATACGCACCCCTCTTATTACAATTTAAGTGGTTCACATATAAGAAATTTTTTTTTTTTTTTTTTTATTAAACCAACATTTTTTATTTCTAAACATTTGTTAAAAGCAGTGACGACTATGTGAGGCGTCAAAAATGAAATTATTTCATATTAATTCTATTGCAAGAAACTTTCCGATGTTTCTGCTATTTTTCAGCTATTTATACTAAATAATTTTGGTCGTTTTCCCTTTGAAACCGCTATTCCATTAATGACCGAGAGTGACTAGAATCAGCTTTTCATTATATATACATTGGTGTATGTGCAATTTCTTTTTCTCACTCTCTCTCGCTCTCTTTCTCAAAATCCACATTCGGATATCAGTTGTGCACTTGTTTCTCTTTGATTGAATTGCATACATCTATGTATATATTTTTGATGTAAATATTTTTTTTTCTTTTTTTTGTCACTCCAGTATTACTGACTTCTTTTCATTGTAGTATATCGTAGAGATAACAAATGCATATATATATATATAATATATATATATATATTAGAAAAATTAAAGTCATCTATTTTTCATACATTTTGCATTTAAACAATAAACTATATAGTACCGAAAACTTTTTATTCGTTTTTTTTTTTTCTTACATTTTCTTTACACCATAAGTTTGTAAACAAACTGTCAGTTCTGCGTGCACATGTGTCGATTATACAGAAAGGAAAAAACAATAAAGAAAAGAAAAATAAACAAAGTAAAAATTAGCCCGTAAAAGAACATTAAACATTTCAATAACAGCCACTCTCCGTTTGCTGTTTCATTTATTTTAAGGTATTGCACATATTGAATAGAATATATATATATTTTCTTTTAACTGTTTAGGAACGATCGAAATTTGGATAATTAAACGAATTCAACGCTAGCGTAATATACTCCCCTCTATGTACACGAAAACGCACGAACGAATAATTAAATTCTTTTTTGTTTCTTTTTTTTCGATGCACGAATATGTGAAAATAAGTGAAAAAGAAAACTGTAGATCAGTGATTTGCAACAGTATCCTCTTTACAATAAATGTACATGTATGTTTTCGCAATACAAAAAAGACTTTATTATAGATCAAGCAAACAAGTTTTAATGCAAAAAAAATATAAAAAAAAGAACTTTTCAGACAATAGAAGATTATTTACTTTACCCTAATATAATTATATCCCAAATACTACTTTAGACAATAAAACGTCACTTACAACAATAAACATTAAATTTCATACCGATTACCTTCAAATGCATGCAATGCATATTGTCGGTCACTACTGTTATTGGTATATGGGGTATTCCTTATATAAAATAATCTACTCCTGTTAACTTAAAGCCACCCTACAGTCAGTTCTCTTTGAAACGATATATAACCGGATAATTTTAGGTAACTATAAATAAATATTTAATAGTAAATGCAGTAGCATGATGCTTATATGGGTATATAATCGACTAAAATTGCGACTGCCTTGTGTGGTTCAAAGAAGAACGCTTTGCTAAATCTCCCTCTCTTTCTCACTTCGACTGAAATCTTATCTAATGTTTAAAAGTGTGTTCCAAAAAATAGATGACTTTTTCTACGCTTAAGGCGAATGGTTCACAATGCCTCTCTTTTGCCTCAATCACCGAAGGATGGGATATAATCCCATTATTAATTTTTCATATCTCTACCTCTCTAAATGCGTAGATTTTGCATTTATACTTTTATTTTAAACATTTAGCCTCAATCAAGACAGGCCAATAGATTCGTTCACCTTGTTTATAGGCACTTGATTAAGACGAGATTTTCTTCAGTCTGATATTTGATCTTCGATACTTTACGATCGTAAATAGTGACACTTTTAAATACAGATGCAGATGAGGTTTAGAAATGATTTCCATTCGCGGTTATCGACATACTAGCAAATGAATCAGTCTCAACTTTAGTACAAATAATTATCAGGGTCATCTGAACTTTCGGCGCAAAAACATTCTCATCGTCCTAATGGGCACATCATTTTCAATTAAGAAAACGCTTTTCAGCGATTCTGAAGTAGTGATAAATCGAAATATTTCTTCAAAGAAAAGTAAATTTCTTATTTTTATTTAGTAAAGTAGATAAAAAAAAAAAGTGTATACACTTATAATCTCTCTCTCCCTCCATACTCTCTTCAATAATTCATTCTCATTCGAGTGACACTCACTCAAATGCGTTTAATATAAATTCTAAAGCGCATAACAAGGCGAAGAAAACGCAAAACAGAAAAACAGGATAAACATGCTAAACGAGAGAAAAGTGCAAGTGGAAAAGGAATGAAGACCTATTAAGTGAAAGAAGAAGAAATCACTTTTTGAGACTCTTTATATTTTTGCTTTCTTAAAGTTGCAGTAATGCAAAGTAGACGCAACGTCTTTACAAAAACAATCAGTTACTATTTAAATTCTTTCTTAACGCATTGTTTTTGTTCTAGGGTAACTTTTGTATGTATTTACAACAAACAATCTTTCTCTTTAAGATCAAACTTCAAAGCGGAAATTTTCTCTTAGAGTTTATCGTTGCTGTACTAGAGTTGCGCGAAGGCAGAAGATAATTTTGCGATTCTTTTTCTTTTTTAGCATTTGTCGTTGTTATTGTTTTACTAAAAATATTATAAATACAATAACAATACAAAATGAAATTGTATTAACCATGAAACTTAAAAGCTGACAATTGCTTAGGGTATGGGAGCGCAAATTTTTGCGCAAATATAATCGACGTTTCATTAAGCTAATCTTCTAGTTTCCATTCATTTTCATTTTTAGAATACTTTATCCATAAATTCTTTATTTTTCTTGGCAATCAAAATATACACATTTCACTCTTTTTTTTTATATATATAATTCAGTACGGTTTCATTGGGGCTCCGAGGCCATTTACATTCATACATACAACCATAAATATACGCACGCACAGTTTTCTGCACCATATTTTCGTCAACATTTCTTTCTAGTTTTACATATGTGTATGTGCGCTTAGTCTTCAATTTTAATGTGCTGTGTACTCATTTTCATTTCTGTTTCGTTCCAATTTTCCAAAAGGAATACGAATACACACACGCTTATCAATTTCACAAATGCCTCGTACTCGTACATATATATACTTAATCGCTTCGTTTTCTTTCTTACTTTGCCGTAGAATTTTTACTTTTTGTTTTTAAAATTTTGGAAATACTTTCGTCGGTCAAGCGATAAAATTATAACAATTTTTGCCCCTTTCGTAATTTCGTTTAATATAACAAATATAATTAAGAAATTTCCACCGTACGCAATTTCTTTGCGTTGCTCTAATAAAAAAATTATTTAACTACCCGTAACAGAGTTGTCGTATTTTAAAATTTTACAACATTTTCTTATGCCTTCTTTGACTTGCCACACAACCAGAGTTTTCTCTCTTCCAACCAATCACATAATTAAGGTTAAGGAATATCAAACCTAATGCAAATGCTTAAATTAAGGATAAAATAATAAGTGCACTCCCATAAAAAAGTCATTTTATATCAACAGAGATGCACAATACATAACTAATAAATTAATAATAAATAAATATATAATATTAATAATATAGGTGTTAAATTGGGGGACTTTTGCCGACGGCTTTGCAAATTAGCAAAAGTGTTCTTTCTGTAAATTAGCAGAAAATTTAGCTACTGTTTTCTTTAATTTGATAATAGAAAAAAAATAATGGCGGTCTACTTTTAGGCTAACTTGTAAAATTGAATAAAAGTAGAATAACAATTTCTTTTATATATATTGTTATATATATTAATAAAGTATTTTAAATATATATTATTATTATTATTTTAATTTTAGACTAATGAATTGAATTCTTAGACTAAAAAAAGAGACAAAAGCTATTTATATTTAAATATAAATTATATAAATTAATATATGGCAACAGGAAGGGCCAGTTTGATTTTTCCAATAGCAAATCAAAGCGATTGAAGAACTGTTTGTTGCTATAAGCTCCAACTAGACGATGGTTATATTTTTATTTAAAATCAATTGAGATTATAGGGCTTGAAAGAGAAGAAGTAAAAAGTGTGGGATTTTGTAAAGTCACTTATAATTTTTTAGGAAATTTCACAAGTACAACAATGCTAGTTACGAGAATGCTATGGTATAACCTTCAGCCCGAGTTTTGATTGATTTACCTTTATTATATATATTTCTATTATTCCATTTGAAAGAAATTTATTATTGGTTTGCCGAATCGCAGAAGAAGAAACAAAAAAAAAGTATGTCTAATTTAAGTGAAAGTAATTATCAAATAACATGCAAAATTTATACAAAATCATATAACAAAACCTTACTTGCAGAATTTTCATAAACTTTTAAATTGGGATCAGCAAAACATGCTAATAGTTTACACGTATAAATGCCAGCTGAATCGAGAAATGTCTATTAAATTACAATATCAATTAAATTTCCTGAAGAAAGTGATTGCTTATTTAGAGCAATACTGCTCTGAGGTACATGATACGATCTATGAGAGCTTTTGCGAAGTCCAACGAAAAATTGTTAGTCAGCCGTCAGAGAATTTTGCTTTTAAACATTATATACTGAGCGAAAAAGTCCATTTCAGTTTAAAAGAATCAAAAAGTTTTTTGGCCGATGGTACTACGTGACTATGTAGCTGGTAAGCAGCATTGCCCTTAACGGACTAATATCTACACCACAAAGCAATTCTTTGGAATCGACGAATGTTAGAATTGGGATCTAGTGCCAGCTTGTATGTTTTGATAATTTATAGAT